AGGGTTAGGAGAGGGAGGAGGGGGCGGGAAGGAGGGAGGGATTGAGGGAGAGAAACTCAAAGTCACCTAATCAGCTTTTATGTCTAAGACAGGATTAGAACTCAGAGTCTCCTGGTTCCCAGCCTGATGCCTTAACCGCTAGACCAAACTGGCTATTTTTATTCTTAATATTTTAATTATTTTATTTAACAATGTTAGATATTTGTGTTGTTGTTAGTTGCGAAGTTGTGTCTGGCCCTTCTTGACCCCATGGACAACATTCCTCCAGGCCTTCCTGTCCTCGACTATCCTCTGGAGTCCATTTAAGCTCACAGCAACTGCTTCAGTGCCTCCATCCAGCCACCTCATTCTCTGCTGTTCCCTTCTTCTTTTGCCCTCCATCGTTCCCAGCAATAGGCTCTTCTCCAGGGAATCCTTCCTTCTAATTAGTTGGCCAAAGTCTTTGTGTTCCATCTTCAAGATCTGGTCTTCTAAAGAGCAGTCAAGGTTGATCTCCTCTAGGACTGACTGGTTGGATCTCCTTGCAGTCCAAGGGACTCGCAGGAGTCTTCTCCAGCACCAGAGTTCAGGGGCCTCCATGCTTTGGCGCTCAGCCTTCCTTATGGTCCAACCTTCACAGCCATCCATTGCAACTGGGAAAACCATCGCCTTGACTATACACACTTTAGTTTTGGCAGTAGAAGTCTTTATTTATGCTTTCTTTCCAGAGAGGCGCAGGCTAAAATTATCCCCTATTTCTCCTCTTTGTTTCCAGCATGAAGCCGCCACGGGAAGACTTCCTCGAATGCAGCATCCAAAGGTTACGGCCCCCGTGATACCAGATGTTGATGACACCAAAGAGTTTTATGCTGCTGTGAACCATGAGTGCAGGAAATGTCCGCCAGGTATCCCATGATCATCAGTTCGACCTGAGCCTTCGTAGTAAGGCTCATAGTCAAGACATGCACACAACCTGCTCCTTTTTTGAGAAAGATAAACTGGACATTTCTTTCTCGACGACCCCATGGGGCAATCGTTTCATAAGACCACGCCAAATAATGATTTTCGCACCATTGTTCTTAGTTCTAAGAAATGTGCATGAGTGGAGGCAAGTGGTGGTTGGAACAGTGAAAAAAACTGCACAGAAAATGAACTGTGCTAGAAGTCATTGGAAGGAGTAGATAACAGCAGAAGCCAACTTTATGTAAGGGGGGAAAAATACCGCATTAGTCATTTCCCCAGAAATTCTATAAAACATTGAACAAGGAGAGCCAGTTGTGTGTGTGTGTGCAGGGGGGGGGGATAATTTGAAAAGTTAAAACGTGTATTCCAGGACACCCACATAGCATGACCATAAGGAAGTTGATATTTTTAATATGGGTGCAACTTTCTGGATAGTCACCACTTCTAGGAAACTAGAAAAAAGAAATATTGCCATGGCGTTCATTTTATTGTAGCTAAGGAGATGATTCAGAGGAATCAGAAGTTCATTCCGCTGTTTAAAAAAATGTGTGGGTTTTCCCCCCGCCCCCCTTCCAATGAATAGGCACATGCTTCTTCTGATTGACTTTCCGTTGGTTGTTCCTAGGGGTGGGTTTCAAAAATTTAGCAAGGGGTTCTCTGCCTGGTTGCTGGGTGGGTGTGGCCTAGTTGGCCTCCTGCACAATGGCGGAGGACGGGCTTTTTGCCCTTCCCGGCCTTCTAGAACTTTCAGTAGACCCGTTTTTCACCCTCCCCAGGCCTCTGTATGCCCCCTGCTCTTACTTGCATCCAAAATGGGCCACATGGGGACTCTTGGGAGGGGAAAGGCGGGGTTGGCATGGTGGCTCTCTGCTGCGCATGCACGGGGGCAGGACACATGCATAGAAGGGTGGGGTGCATGCACAGGGGAACTTGTGTTGCATTTTGGGGCCTCGCACAGCGCCCCGTTTGGTGCAAGAGACCTTTCAGGCCCAAAATGGAGTGCACGAGGGCTCCCCCGCATGTGCAGAGGCGGGACACGTGTGTGGGGCAGGGTGCATGGAGGGGATTTCACATGCACATTGCATTGTGGGTCGGGCATGTGAGCACGCTTTTGACACGCTATGACAAAAAGGTTAGCTATCACTGGTCTAGATACCACTGGGGAGAGAACAATGCTAACTGCTTATTCTAGCTGTATATTCAATTTATTTTTTGCCTTTCATTGATGCAACATGGACATCCATTGTATACCTACATCAGCAGTTCCTAGAGAATTCCTGTCTTTTATTTCAGAGTTCCCCAACCCTCAGGTCCGTGGATCAGGACCATTTTGCAGCCTGTTGAGAACCGGGCTGCGCAAGCAGTTGTCAGCGTTCCAAATAGCATCCAAAAGTAAATTTTGTTATGGCTACATAGTATGTAACTCCTTACAATCCCCCCTCCAATTCTCCCACAATAGAAAGTGCATAGTAGAATAATAGAAAGTATGGCAGGCCAAAGATCCAAAAGAAAAGTTGGCTGCAGGCCTGACAGGCGGCCTCTCCTCAGAAGAGAAGGGTACCCCTTGCAGCAGACATGCACACATGCGCAGGATTAGGTTGCACACACAAAACCAACCCCCTCCCCCATGCCACTCTCACTGCTGCCCCTGCCACTCTACTGAGCCAGAAAAGTTGGGGGTCCACTGTTTTCATATGTACTTACTTTTAATATGTACTTACTTTTTACATCTTTTTGCTTTTTTTCCAGGAACATTTGTCCATAAACAATGCACTGTCCCCAGAACTGAAGGGATTTGTCAACCCTGTGAAAACAACACCTATTCCAAACTCTCAAATTCCTTTGATATCTGCTTTGGATGCAGAGCCTGCAGGATTTTAGGTATTAAGGATGGAGACAATTTTATTTACTTAGCTTGTTAGATTTTTTTTATCCCATACTTTATAGGTAACTCAAGGCAGCAAACATGTGTAATACTCTTTCCTCTCTTTTTTATTTTTCATTTCCACCCCATAGCAACCATCTTCCGAGGTGGGATGGACTGAGAGAGTGAGTGACTGGCCCAAAGTCATTCAAACAGGTTTTCATGCCTAAAGTGGGACTAGAACTCACTATGTCCCAGTGATTGGCCAAAGTCACCCAGCCAGCTTTCATGTCTAAGGCAGGACTAGAACTCACCATCTCCTGGTGATCAGCCAAAGTCACCCAGCCAGCTTTCATGTCTAAGGCAGGATTAGAACTCACCATCTCCTGGTGATCAGCCAAAGTCACCCAGCCAGCTTTCATGTCTAAGGCAGGATTAGAACT